TATAACATATTTTCGAGTGTGACGTTGGAACCTAGTCCGAATCCACCCATTGGTTGCATCATTTCAGTACTTGATAATGTCTCTTCCCATCCTTCTTTGCTACATTAATAACTCGTTCTCCATGAAATATTTATATTACCTTCACGTAAGGAAGAAAATTTTCCCATTGCACGCTAAAGAATGAACTGCATAAACCCGGGCGGTCGTTATCTCCTTAAGATTTCAGAAGATCCACAAATCAAGGCCCAGATAGTAGATAGAATCATGTCGAATGATGTTAGTTCCAGTACACCATGCCAGTGAAAGGCACCGTGACCTTTTTGGCAACAGAGTGGGGCTGGAATTCGAACTGGTGTTTTCTATGAACAAGTGGAAATGATCGAAGTCTATTTGCCATGATTGCATGTCAAGTGTTCAGATCAAGCTGAAAGCTCTCCGAGCAATGGTGGAGGTGCAACCGTAAGCCGAGATTGGCCTGGACCTATGAACCGTACTAGGCTTATGAGCTCGCCCCAAATCTACAAGCCACAAGCGAAAAGTCAAGTTGGCAAAGCAAAAAGCTCAACGCAAGGCAACCCAACGAGCGAAAAGCATCCCCCGACTAAATTTCGGGCGTTGGATTGAAAGGATCTAGAGTGCGGTAGACACTTGTATGCTAAGAAGCATTCGAAGCTGAAACACCGACGGTGAATTGCCCAGACGGACAGTATTATCTGCATATCCACACCGACTCTTGGCTAGAGCTTGACACGGAACCTATGACTCCAGCTGATTTCCAGCCGATTTCCAGCCATCGATGCTGACAAGGAGTCCAACGGAGATCGACAGAAGCAGAAAAATCTATGATTTGAGCAAATTTGCTCACTGAAAAGTACGGGGTGAGTAAAATTGCTACTCGGTACGAGGCTCACGAGATTTATATCATCTGATGCCTTGGCTGCGGCTTGACCACAATAACGAATATTTTGTAGCAACATTCATTTGTCCTTATCTCTTCATTGCCACCATAGCAACGCAACCAGAAGCGAGTATCTGCCAAGGAAATTAATCATTCAAGACTCGTTTGAGTGAGCTCATCTGAGGGTAATGATGGCGACTATGGAAATGTAGGGGGAGAGAAGATAAACCGAGCCACATATAAACAAGACCAAACCTTGTAACAACACGGTGCCAAGGTGCACAAGGGTCGGCAGAGGACGAATCATGATCTGATTACTTTACTGATGGGTACACTTTTTCCCAAAGGCTTGATAAGCATGAACCGTACTTAGTGTCTGACTATTTAAGCTACATCTGGAATACTATTGGTTTTTAAATTTAGATAACTAACACACGCCTACAGACTTACACACACAGGAACTGTTTGTCATGACACTATACTCGCATGTAAAGACTCAATGTGATTAGTACAGACGAAGTCTGAAACATTTTCACTCGTGTTGACTTGATGTGGGTAGATGGAAAACAAAGGCACGAAATGTCAGTTTCTAAGAAAGTATGCAGTCATGGAAGGAAAGAGACAATATGGCCAGAGTCCTTAACTCAGACCTCATAACATGACGTCCAAATGTGACCATGGGCTGTGGACATTGGTCTTACCATTTCCTTGCTAGAGGGGATAGAGCTACAAGTTGCTGCCACTGTGCGAGACCTGATTTGAATTTGCTTGTTCGACGGGATAGAGTTACAAGTTGCTGCTACTTTGTAAGACCTTGTTTGAATTTGCTTGTTCGAGGGGGTTAGAGCTACAAGTTGCTGTTACTGTGTGAGACCTTGTTTGGACACACCAGATGGACAAGACTTTGGAGTGTTGACAAAAAGCAGGCACTGTTTTTTTCCTGTTGTAGGACAGCAATCGGTCACTAAACAATACAAAACGAATCATTGTTGTTTGGGATCGTCGCCACTGGATGTGCTGGACTCCGATAGGATGTAGAAGCAACCCCCTATGAGAGACTTCCTCTCTCTCTACTGTGCCTGTAAAAAGTCAAGCTAGGCCCTCCTCTTCTCATTCATGCACAACTCTGATGATCGATCAGCAGTGAAAAGATAAGACACCTTTCCACGGGGGGGGAGAGAGAGAGAGAGAGAGAGAGAGAGGAGAGTGAAGGTATGCGTGTTTGGGGATGGGATATGGAGGGGTAGCGTGTCAAGCCCTCTCTGCAGGTAGTGGCGCTAAGATTGCGTGTGAGAAATAGTCTCGCCTCTCTCCAATCTGCTCACAGTGGATGGTAAATTCTGAAGGCTTTGGATTATGCTCTAGTTGGCCCCATGCATTGCTGATGCCATTGGTCAGGGAGATACCATACACATGAAAAGCACTGAAAACCTCGTTGATGACACAAAAAGCTAATTGATGCTTGATTTGGATGGACTGCATTGGTTGCAACGATCTGCTTGCAATGGGGTTTGGGTCGTGGAGGTATAAACATGATGAGCGATCATGAAGCAGTTTTGTCCACCCTCAGAAACACACGGAGGCTGTTCAACGCCAATGATGACAATTGTGTCCGGGTGCGATGGTGGAACCACAACCAGGAAATTCGACCACCTACGACGAAAGGTCTGTTAGAGACTTGTGTATAGCTCAACTAGCTACATAAGTGTCGGCTCGGGGTAGTTGGCTTCTTTTCAGAGCTCTTCCTTTCTGTTCCTTGCCTGCTATCCGTTACTTGGCGGAGATATTTCTCTCCTTGCTCTGCCATTAATTCACCCATTGTCATCGACTTTCTCGTAGGACATGGATCTGTGGATCCATGATAGAACATTGAAGCTTGTCGTGTGGTTGATCAGGTTTGAAGAAATTTTAGCTCGTCCTATGAAAAGTGCCTCGATCCGAAACTTACGATGGAAATAAGTTCTGCTTCCACGTCAGACTTAAACTTTTTGGCCTTTTAATGAAGGCGATATGATCGCAATGGTGCCAAATTTGGACCGAGAGCTATCCAGTTTTGTACAATCCAATTTTAGACGATGTGGTTCTCAGGTATCGAAATGATTTGGTGTTGAAACCTGAATATGCCCACCGGCGATCGGATCAATCATGCGCTGAAACTGTTGCTTTGCCACAACTGCTGCCTTGCATCTTTTCTGGGACGTCAAACACTTCATGCCCAGATTTCAGTCCTCCAATCTTTTTTCTTCTTCGTTCGTCTTCTCATTCGGATTTCTGCACAGTGGCAACAGATGCCTCGCGGCTTGCGGATCCTGATTACAGACATGCTCTTTGGGCTTTTTCTTTTGTTGGAAGCCGACTCTCCTTGCTGAAGATTGCGTTTACAGGACGAGGATGTTGTTTGTAATTAGGGGGAGCATTTGGATGCCTCGATGTATCGTACCTATAATTGGATTCTTCGCGAACTGCGCAGTATAATACATATGTATAAACCCAATGTGTCATACAACACTCAGAGATTCACCTCATTGTGTTACCTTCGGCCTCGAAGATATACTCGTCATGCATGCCATCCACGCCCTCGTCAGTAATCAAATTCATCAATGCTACCACCACCAGCATACTCATCGATGGGAAACTCTTAAAGTTCAGATCCATTTCGGCTATGAGGGCATAGCTGCTGCAGTCACTTGCATAATTTTGTATCCCTCCTTGTAGCGATTTGACCATCTAACTGTTTCAAATTGAACCTGTTCTATATCCAAAATAATCTCCCGTATAACATCTTTTGGTTCCCCATTTCGAGTAGAGTCTACACTTCTTACACTTGTAAAAAGCCAGCAACACTCGTTCGGACTCATGACTCGACTTGGGACTTTTTATTATACAATTATACAAGGTATGGTTTGGGCGTGCTGTATAGTAAAGTGGTATAATACCAAGGGTATAGTACCGCAAATATACATACACACCTATAATCATACCTCACAACGGGAATGTGGATGCCTGGTGCCCAAATTTTTACAGATTCATACTAAAAAACAACTGATACATTGCAACATCGGCCCCGTAGTCTAGTGGTTAGGACATTGGACTCTGAATCCAGTAGCCCGAGTTCAAATCTCGGCGGGGCCTTTATTACAGTTCTTAGACCATAGCAAAACGCATTTTGGCTCCTCTTGATGATGATATTATTCAACCATTAAGCTCACCATGCTTGAACCACTTTATAATTCTATAGGACGAGAAAATTACTTGATGTGACACAACGGAAGGCAAAACCTTGCTGGTACCCAACACGATGTATTTTACCCTATGTAACTCTGTTTTCACCTGACTACCAAATTCGGTTATATGTGTTGGTAATCATTAACGGATGGAAGAGCTTCTCTGGAGGCATTTTCAAGCATGTAGAGAAGCTGGTGCACTTCTTTGAGCAGGTAACCATCTTTAACCTGTTGTAAGTTACTACTGAGTTAGGGGGTTACAATAACTGGTGGGCTGCAATGCCGTGGGGGTCCCATTGGGTACAATGAATCCTGTTGGGTCCAAACAAAGGTTTTGGATTTCTCGTCTGTCCCATTGGGTAGAATAAATCGTGTCAGTCCCAACAAACGTTTTGCACTTCTCGTCTGTCGAGGCTTTGAAGGTAACTAATTTCGTTTGGTTCCATTATGTCACTGATGTATGTTACTGCTATTGATTTCTTCCACCTCATTGTTCGTGGTGTCAATGCTGCTGGACTGATCTAGAGGCTTTGAAGATGATCAATTTCGTTTGGATCCATTGTCACTGACATATGTTGCTGCTATCGAATTCTTCAACCTCATTGTTCGTGGTGTAAATGCTGCTGGACTGATCTAGAACATAACGTTTGCTTGTGCACATCCACATCAAATCAAGTAGTCCTCACCGAACATTTCCCTGTGCGCGCTTGTAAGAGAATGATCAGGGTTCTACAGCTAAGCCCTTCTTCTTTGAATTGCGTATCCAAATTTCAAAGCTTATTTATTGAGTCCTTTTTGAGAGCTACTAGTTGTGGAAGAATCCGAAAATCACCTGCAGAGATTCCAGACAGGTGGAAAAGGTAAGAGAAATGCAGTTCCTTCCCAACATTGAAGTACCCTCAGATACAAATTTATAATTTGACCAAAATCGTTCACCGGAAATACAATGTAGATTCTCAGCTTAGTGTGCCTACTTCCTGTGCCAACTGTCTTCTACCAAGTTTGGCCAGCACAGGTTCTGATTCTCCAAACCCACGTGTCTTCTGCAAGAAAGCTCTCTACTATCTATGGTCTAAGCTTCTCATGCATTTGTCACTCATGTAGGTACAGTTTAGGGCTTAGGTCCCTTCCTGAACCCATAAAGCTTGGATCTTTTCCATGATACAGGCTGACTCAGATTGCAGTCTACAATTCGTCCGTGCCACTTGTATACTTCTTCCCATTCACGCCAACAAGCTCTGTATCAAACACGAGGGTTGCACCACCTACATTGACAGGAAGGACAACCAGCACTGTCAGATCTTTCGGAGGGTGGTGACATAAACCTGCCAAAAATCTAACAGCTAAAACACTGGAAAATCTCGCGCCGTGATCAGCTTAGCGTGTCTTGCGTTTGAAGCTAAAGCGCACATAGCTCATTCATGTACATTAGACTTGATCCATCATTTACACAGGCAGCCCATTTAGCTCCATATTTGGCAGAATGTTCGAGAACATTCTGCCAATTGCACATGTGCGATCAGCTGCCTTCAACTTTCAGAAGTAACTCAGTTCCCAGTCCCTCAACTATAGGTATAACTCCGAAGCAGAATAACATGACAATTATTAGTCATCATGGGTAATTTTGATTTTTGATTCTGTGAATTCACAATTTGTGGAATATAAAGAATTTACGTTTCTATCACTGACGGGTGAGCGCTTCTACTTTGAATTGTTAGAATTAAAAAAAATAGCGTTAGTTACCTGGTATCTTGGGTGGGGAACCATTGTCTCCGTAGCCGAGTTTCGATGGAATTTTCAGCTTGCGCTTCTCTCCCAAACACATACCCAACAAGCCTTGGTCCCATCCTGTGATGTCGAATATTCATCTTGTCATCGCACGGCATTGAGGAAAAAACTTTGATGGGACGACTAAAATGCATCACCTAAAGAACCTCAGCACACAGGCTGCAGCACAACCTAACAAACACCAACACGCCTCTCCAAACTGTTTAAGTGATGGAACAACGACCGAGTGAGGCTGGCGAAAGTTTACTAATTTTGACATGCTAGTGTCCATGATCGAGTATGCAAGCAAGCGTTTGAAGGCAACATACCTTTGATTACTGAACCTTGACCTAGCTTGAAATCAAAGGGAGCCCTTCCATAACTGGAATCAAACTCTGTGCCATCCACTAAAGTACCCTGTTCATACAGTGAAGAAAAGAGTCAAAGAGGTGGAACCAACCTTTGATGACTCGGCCAGCACCTAGCTCGAAATCAATTGGCTCTCCCCTCCCATAACTTTCATCAAAAACTGTCCCATCGGTAAGAGCCCCCTGTGCCACCAGTGAAGATAGAAACTCATTGGTACGGTAGAGTATCCCATTCTCAGAAGAACTTTGTGTGGTCAAGATGTGCATTCTAGCCACAATTCGCTAGACACAATCAGCTCCGATGATTGTGTCAGATCAGACACAATCGATCTGACCCCACAGTCAGCTCCGATGAGTACTCATATATTGACTTGAAAGTGACTTCAGAATAGTCTCACAAACTATCTAGACTGAACAAGATTTTTACTGTGTTCACAGCACTCTACCCTTTTGTGTCGTCATATCGATCCTGGCAACAACTGAGTCAACTAGATTATAGAATAAGAAGTTAAGTCGTGCCCGTATAAATTACAGTCACACATGATGGAAAGACGTGTTTGGAAAAATTCCCCTCATTTTAACAGCCGACGTGTGTCACGTGTTCGAAATACCTCCAGTTGTATGCTGTGAATTTTGTATTTCTTTCAATAACTTGTGGCGGCGGGGTAGCTCTACGGTCTACTGGCTAGATCAGGGTTATTTCAGTGGAACATTTTCTTTACTTTCATCTAACCTTGTCACCTTATCGGACATGTATGGAGTTAGTTGCATGCAGCCCCACGGAATCAGGAATGGCTTTATGATGAATGCCGTGCAGAGCGTGGATGATCCCACATTACCCAACACTAGTTTTGATGACCTAATAAATGGAAGGATTTTTAGATAAAAATCTTGGTTGGATCTTCACCATTTGAATTACATTTCATACCACTTCAAACTCTTTCCGACAATCTGTTGAAAGAAATATGAGAGGACGAGGCAGAAGTGAATAAAATGGTTTTCTCCCTACTTCTACACATGCCTTCGACACGTCATCTAAGAACTTGATAAACTTGTAGACTTACTAGTCCAGCAAATGGTTCAGCTCTTTTCACATCAGCATATACTAACTCATTACTAAACAGTGGAGTTTTTCTATCAATTGCTACGGACCTGTTTCTGGTACTTCCTACAATCTGAAACTGCCTCCTCAGTCTTTTCAACCAAACAAGAAGAAAGAAGAGTCTTCAGGGGTTAACGATGATTAGAGAGATTTTTTCTCACCTAGGATCTAACGCCTTTTGAGACCCTACATATAGACAACGAGATCATTTAAGGGGCAACAAGAGTGATATAAAGCCGCTCTGAAGCGATTTCCCTTATCTCTGGAAGACTCCAACAAAGAGTTAATGACCCTGCTTGTGAGCCTACTCAGATTTCCTCACTGAGTTTCAGCTAGTAAACTAGTCAGTACTGTTCCTAGCTTTCGTTCTTATGGAAAGGTGAAAACCCACAACATATTCAAAGAACGATTCACCGTCATAGGGGATTCTTTTCGTCCCCAACACCAGGATGCAATTAAAAAACAGGGACAAGTCTCTCCCGAAAACTATTAAATTTCTCAGGCATTATCTGAAACAAACTTCATTCAAATGATTCATATTCTGCAAACGAAAAAAAGAAAAACCTACACCTGATAGAATTCATCACTTACCCTGTAATGAACGCTAACCTTGTCGCCCTTGTGTGCTTTCACATCACATGTCTTTGGCTTGAACTGCAGATATGACAGGAAATTTTGATTTTAGAAGTTTCTAAATTTGGAGATGTGAACAAGGAGGGGTCAAACACAAAGATGTAGACACAGTTAGAACTTAAGTGTTATGCAGGTAGAAGTTCTTGTTGTAGCAAGAACTTCTATCATATGGGTAACATAATCGGTAGCAATTCTCGAAATCTGCAAACTCAAATTGTTGTATAAACGAACGCCACCAGTATGACTTTGTCATATTCAAATACGGAGGGCAGGCATGATCTAGGCGCATACCTTCACTCCTATCTGTAGTTCTTTCACCTCCTTATCAGCCTTGGCTTGCACTGCACCCCATTCAACCAATAAATCAGATCTTATCACAAATCAAAGTAGGAGACGAAAATAAAACCTGAGTTCCAAAAAAAAATTCGAGAAAATTGTAATCAGATTCGTACACCATTACTTGTACATTTGCTTGCACCCACGAGACAAAACACAAAAACAACCTCAAGCACAAACAAAGAAAACGCAATCGGCTGCAATGAATATACTTAAGTCGTATCCACGGGATCAGAAATTGCATCAACATCGTGAACTATAATAAAAAGAAAATATAGTTCAACAATGATCACGACATCAAATCGACTAACTTCCAGCCGTCTGATACCCATCTAAAACTGTCATCCAGTCATCCACATCGCGATCCCTCTCATCCACCTCCCGGCAATGCAGTCCAACACTCTTCGACGACATGAGCAATTTCAGAGATCAGATCGACAAAATGTCTTTACCTGCAAGAAGAATGCAGGACAGGAAAAGGCAAGCGGCCACAGCGGCCAGCAAGCAGTTCACTCGGCGAGCAGCCATAATCGTTGTCAGCGCGTCGGCGCCTGAAATCCACGACTGATCGATGTACCGCAGCCGCAGCTCCGAGCGCTAAAGAGCAGAAGACGAGAGAGGAGAAGAGAAGAGAAGACGAGAGATCGGGCGCAGAGCAGAGGAGCGCAGAGGAGCGCAGGCCGTTCATGCGCGGTCGATCCACTGCCGGCTTATTGACGACGATCCATCGAGAGACGGAGAGATGGATGGATCCATAGTTCCGCGTGCAAGGACGTGGACGTGCCAGTCCTTCCCGTACTAGAACACGGACTCTTGCTAACGAGGACTCTGACCTTGGATAGTTCCTATACGGAGCTCCTTCTCTTATTGTGACTCGTCACTCATCCCTAATAATGTGCCGGACTGCACAGACGACTTTTCTCTTGTCGTCGCCGGCATCGTGATCCACGCTGGAAGATGAGCAAATTATTTTTTGCTAATCTGATCTCGCTATTCCTGCAGACTTTTTTAAGAATGTCGCATGATAAGGAGACAAATGAAGTAGCTGATGATAGAGCGGCATTCGTCCACGTTCATCATAGTTCGTTGACATTTGAATCTCATTATTAGTTTTATGATCATAATCAAGAAATGTGCGAGTTCAAGGAAATCATGGATCTGAGTTGGTTATGTATCTTCCTTATTGCATGTATTATCATTTCTTTATAAGAAAACATATGAAATTATTTATGTTTCTTTTATAGATTGAGTTTTTATAATTTTAATTTATAAAAAACTTGAACCGATGAATATTTGTTTAACTCTCTTTGACTAATAAAAGAAATTTATACTATTATATAGCATTAATTTCTTTGATAAAAAATTTGTTCTATAAATTGCATATCGTATAAAATAATTTGAAAACAATCATGTTCATTTTAATGAATTCTGTTAAGTCTATTCCTAAAGTTTTATTTATTTCGAGGAGAGATGTATGAACAAACATCGATACATGTTGGGATACATAGACAATATTGACTTCTGCAATCTACAAAGAACAATCACAGCAAGTGATATTTAGTTTTTATGCCACTTTACTTGGTCCACGAACAATGTCTTTTCCATGGTGATCTATGAGTAGCTACTCATAGATCACCAGTAAATTACTTGATGGACCCTGGAAACTCAATCGTCTTCAAGGGACCCGACGGGCCACGGTAAACTATGTTCTTATAACCTACTAATTATTTTATAGAAAACAATGTCTAAGAAAACGACGTGCACCATGAATCTGAATTACTGTAAATATGGTCTTGCCCTGACTTCATGTTCTACTCGAATGAACCCGAGATAGTATTGGAAGATCGCTGACGGTGGGGCTGCATGGCCGTCGATGGGTCCCATCGGGTAAAATGAAACCTCTTGCATCCCATCAACAGTTTTGAGTTTCCCGGGGGTCCCATCGAATAATTTTCTCCATAGATCACCCCATGGTTCAGGTTTGCCTTCTCCTTGTAGGAATTAACAATACATTTCCGTCACAAGTGCTTGAATCAACGAAAAAAAATAAAAATTTAACTTCATTTGATGGACTTCGTTGGATTTTGAATTTTTAAGTGTAACATTTCTGAAACGAAGTTTACTTCCAAAAAAAAGTTATCTTCTTGGCTTTTACGTCTTCAAGCTCTCATCATTACATTCTGTTACAAAATTGATGTAAAACCTAAAAGTAAAAACAGACCGTGAAAATAACGGAACCTGAGACTCAGATTTGGACCCATTAATTCAAAATGCCGATCAGCCAATTTCAGTTGTAAGTAATTCTATGCCCGTGAATCCGTTCAAAGAATGAAAACCGGAATATCATCATCCCACTTTTGTGTGTTCCTGGCTCGTAAAAAAAGGCAGAGAGCACACATTCAAAGCTTCACAAAGATGAGTGCCTAGACAAATGAGCTTGGACAAATGCTTTACTCTGCAGTACGTGTTAAGGACCCATAACTAGGATTCAAAGTATCGTCTCAAGTAACGCAACCTAGTATGAGTTAAAACCTTTTTCCAGTGCAAGGTCGAATGCTCTTTATTCCGGCGGGGGAAACAATGAACCCTGCTAGCCGTGCAAGAGATCCCATATGAAAGGGAAAACTCTAAAAGAATGATAACACTAAATATACATTTATCTCAAAAAATAGTAGTGACTAAAATGTTCTGATGAAAAACTGAGATTTTGTCATATGAGGAAAAGCACATCCCTCCCGATTTATGCCCCTTGGACGTCAAAAATTTACTTTCATGTCTAGAAAGAAAGAAGTAAGTTAACTCACGCTCTTCAACATCATTTTGTGACTTGATATAGACAATGGCAGATGTTTCCTCCAAAATCCTCTAACGATCCCTAAGTTCCATGACTTGTGTCCGCTGATCATGCCACCCGGACTAAAAATGTTTTGACCTTCATCCTGCTTACTGATCCCAGAAAGTTCTCGAAAGATAAGCTTGTAGTCCATCTTCTTTTGCTATGTGTCGAAGTTTTCCAAGTGCTTTCTTCTGCTCGTGCATAAACCCACAATATCATCAGGTTCCAAAAACTATATGCTACAATTGTCATTGAAGAGAAAAAATGCAATAGCGAACTTCATTATATGACTTCAAAACTAAAAGTAGATGGTCATTATGGTTTCGTACAAAAGCGGTTTCGTGGTCATACCTCTGTCAGACGTATGGTCTCGTAGGACAAGTTCATCAACGATGCAACCTGCACCATACCAAGAAGGGATGATCAGACGTAGGCACGATGATGACCATATCTAGGGTGTGAAAAGTTGACAGAACTCACTTCCGTCAGCTCATAGACAACACCATGACATTCACTTGATACCAGACTACAGTATATACCAAGAGATAGGTGAAGTGGACGTCATAGTTTCTTAGCTGCTACCTCTCAAAAGCATTATAAGCATTCTGGATAGAAGGGTGACTCGAAAATATAACCTGCCCTTTGAGGACAAAGTTGATCAAGAAATAAAGCTACAGGTGATGACTTCATGAAGAAAAGATTGAGAACTGCTCTCGCACTCTTAATTATTGGTGTCAAAGAGGGAGAAGTGATACCTCTGCTCTGGAAAGAGGTCTCTTCCCATCTAGTCCATATCGCATTTCTAGGACCTTCAAAGGCAAAGAAATTTGTACTCATTACAATGTACCTATCATAGGCTAAAGTCCAAAGACAGAAAATGCACCCACCAGATTCAAAAAAAATTCGATAGCATTCAACATGGTGGTAAACCACTGAATTAAACATGTGTGTAGTATCAAGAAAGTTGCATACTTCCTGCTCGCGAGAACTAAGACTATGAAGGGCGTTGTTTATGTCCATCTTCATGTCTTCGTCTCTCAAGTGCTGAAATCACAGTTATAAAAACCTTGAGAAACTTCTCTCCAAGCAGAAACAAATTTAACAGTTGCAACGCCAACGGCACTCATTTTGAAAATACTTGCTTCAGATCAGACGTCCAAGAGATTTCCATCAATAAGTAGTGGAAGAAGCACGGAACGATACTACTCTCAAGTACAACGAGATGCTGGGTAGCCTCCTATTCATAAACACCAGAACCTAAAAGATTTACCGAAGGCCGAAACGACGACTTTGAGCATACGGCGTACCATGCCCTCAAGCAGGGTAAGTGACGGGTTATTGTACTGTCATGAAATTTGACATTGGAGTGTTGAAATGCGGAATAATAAAATGCTTCGGTGTCACTACTTACAAACCAAGGACGAACGCTGCGGTCTGGATCTGCAACCTGCTTCTCATACTCCCCATCAACAGTTGAGACCATTTGTTCCAGTGACTTCGCAGGTCTGACTAGTCTCATGGTATTCCGAATCTGAAAATAGGGCGAACGAATTTGAAGGATCAACAAGAAACATAAATTCACCGTTTTTTATATCGTACGTACGACCCGCGGAATACTCCAAGGCCTTACTTTTGAGACTGTAAATCACGCCCGTGGGTACTTCAATGTTTCACTCTACTAACATAGGAGTATCGGACAATAGTTTCAATGAAGTATATACCCCGTCCAAACGGTATCAGTTTAACACCAGAATTTCAAGTTGTAGCAAATCCGAAAACTTTTCTGAACAAAAAAAGGAAGTCAAACTTACCGTATCTTTATCAACGAGTGACAAATCAGCCAGCTCTTGTAAAGTAGGTTCTCTCCCGTGTGAAGACTGGAACTCCTGTAAAGCATCAAAGTCGGTAAGTTCTATTGCCAATACACCTGCTCAAACTGTTCTGAATTTGGACACAATCGCATTCGGCGTCTCAGTATACAATGCAACTAGGACGATGTAAAGCTTTTAGACAAAGCAAGGAGGCCAATCGACACAACAAGATGGATCAAGACTGAAAAATATTTCCTTACGTATTATTTCAACTGTGTCTTAAGTCTTCTTGCGCGAAGAAAAACCGTCAAGCCGATCAATTCAAGCATTTGTTACATCTTTTTGACTGAGTACCTCAATGTGCCGTGTTGCTTGCTCATGTATGGTGAATTGACTAAGGCTTCAATAGTAACAAGGGCACAACAATAGGAAGCTACATGAGACGATCATGATGACTAGAAAACGAAAAGGGCCCCAAAGTTTACCTCTTTGTGCCGAAGAACCAATGAAGCGGTTTCGTAAACAGTCCTGCTAATACGTAAAACGTGACGAAATTTCTTTACAGCTGCAGACATGCCCTGTAAATACTCCATGAAAATATATTAATCGATTATGTGAATCTATGCTCACAAGCAAGAAAGGGATCAACTGAAAAACATCGAAACCGCAGGTTCAATCACTTAGGTACATAAATATGATTCTCAAACCTCTGGAACTTACCTCCCATATCCATAAGAAGGTGTACGAAGAAAATTTCGTCTTATAAGATGTATCATACTTCTCCGTGCTCTTTAAAAGACCCAAAACTCCTTCCTGTTCAATCAGCTGATTATTATTTGACTGTCATAACCTGAAGACCGTAGACACCGAGTTCAATATGATGGTGTTCAAATTCAAAGTTGTTTCAGCCAGAAATAGGAACAAGAGAAAATGCAGTCCAACGAGGAAGACTTTCCAGGAGAAGAGCAAACAATTCAACTAACATAAGTTACAAGATCATGACCATCAAATGCAAGAACGATAAAGAATCGCTGACCTGGCACAATTCTGTATGAGAAAGTCCTTTCCCAAGAAACCGTCCAGCGACTGAATGAACAAGAGGTAGATTTGCAGAAACCATTTTTCTCTTGGCTGCCCGGCCCCTTCCGATTCTAGAATCATAAGTCGAATTGAAAAGTAAGGAATACACTCGCAGATAGATCAGATGTGTGAAAATAATGCACTACTCACCTGTTATTAGAGTAAGAACAAACAAGTTGCCCGATTACTTCTAACATTTGTACCTCCTCTATTCTTCAAACGTAATGGACAGTTAGGCACAGATACAAACTCAGTTTATCACCTTGAACATTGAGGTTTTTCATACCTTGCATACAGACGGAAAACCGAGCTTCCGACAAAATCTGCCCATTCTTCAACGCTTGGAGTTCTCCCTAGCTTTGCCTCTAACTCATCTCTCTGGCGCTGTAATTGAACCAAATCCTGAATATAACCAGGGACGTTCAAATCTGCGGGTGAAAAAAAGAACACAAATTCTCTATTCCCATCGAAAGCAGAAGGAAACTCGGACAAAGGAAGTTGAATGCCTAGGTTATCATTTATTATCCATTAGAAACTGGAGGGCATGATGACCAGAAACTGTACCTCACAAAGTTTAGACACATACATGAACTGATTCATTATGGCAGGAGGTTTTGAAGCAGCAAAGTTGTCAAAGTTTTCTTTCTACAAACCTGAACCTCTGCAGCTAGGACTGATTCCTCTTCGGAAGTAAGTGGATTACTAGCACCTTCTATCCTTGGCCAATGGGAAGAACCTTTAACCGGTGTTGAATCATCTTCATCGATCGCATGAGCGGAAACCTGTAGATCAAGGATGTTCAAATCGGCAGTCATGCTCATAATTCGGAAGACCAACTTGTTATTGATTGGATTGAAAGCCATCTAATACAACATTTGTCAAGCACTTTCAGTTAATCGACATTAAACTCCAGATTTTGAAGAGCTAGGAATATACATTCCTAGCTCAAATATATATCGATTACAAATCGTCGACATTCACTGCGAAATTCGTGCGGTCCGACAAGGTTTCTGAAAGAAAAGTAGAAATGCAAAAGAATCTGAAGAGCATAAATCCCAGGTCGAATCTTCGTCGTGGACGTTGACAACCCGTGTTGACGTACGTAAAAAGTTGGCTTGCAAGCAAAACACCCGTATTCTTTTTTACAGAGCACTGCAAGCCCTTCCATATTCTTTTAGGTGGTGACTTAGCCACGAAACACGAGTTTCCTCATTTAAAACCCTTTGCACACAATTGCCGCAGAGTGCCTTACTAGCAGAATTGACGTCGCTAAAGGTACTCACACGATCAAATTTCCTGCTCCCTTGCGCATTAACTCGCTCCGAAGACTCTGTGACATCAACATGTGAGGAGGACCCTGTTCTGCGCCCAGACTCAGCCTTCTGTACAACTGCCAGGCTGGTTCCCGGAAATCGAGTTCTCGATGCAGCTCTAACATAGCCCCTGGTATATGGTTCAGATGACCAGAACGCGGAGCTAAAGCTCGCAAACTTTACAAACTGAACTGAAACCATCGCTTCCATCGGTCACTCTTCCAAACGACCTGCTAAAGTTCATAGCTTGAGATTACAAAACCTCAATCACAAGTCCGATCCATCCGATGGTATGCACTCCAAATTCATGCCTGGAACAACAGGCCGGCACAACGCTGCAGAAGTAGGATCACTGATTTCTTCCCGACCAGCAACCTCACAACGAACGCAACTACTTTGACAAATAATTGGCATCTAAGCCGACCCCGGCGCCTTTGCGAGCGTGCAACATGTCAGTCCAGGTGTCGAGGTGGTTGGAGATTTTTCCGGCATATCATTCCCTGGGGAGGAGATGATTGTGTCTTCTACTGAGACTCCTGCTTCTGCCTTGCATCGGAAAGTCTCCAATTTGAGCATGCGCAATGTGCGAGTATCGATGCCATGACTTCTTTGTATGCACCTCTGCCCGAATTCCGACGTTGAGGCCCTTCGCATGTCCGCGGCTTCTCCTCGTCTTCGAACGCGGAAGGCTGCGACAACGACGACAGGAAATGCCCGCAGGCGTCAACGACACGGCCTGCTGTTTGAACGTCGTCCGGGACAAGTGTGTCCATGAGCCATCAAGAGTTACCAATATTGACTACATGATCTATCTAATTATTTATATATTTTCACATCTCTTTACAACAAGTTTGAATTCGAAACGAAATAATAATTTTATTTGGATACATTCGTGGAAGAAATAATCCATTGTATTACTAGTCAATAGCAGTATATTGTTAATATATTTAATCAATCAACATAAGTTGATTGACTTAATATGTCAATGAACGTAAATCAATTGACAAATTTAGTCATTCCGTTTACGTTGTTTTAAAAAAAACAATGTTTATAATGATTATATCAAAGTAAAATATTTATTTAAAAATAATACATAATATGAAAAAATTTAAATATTTATTTACTCGTTTATTTTTATATTATAATATTAATGAATTTATTTTAAAAATATGAATCTTTATTCTGCTTGAAGACATTTTAATAAACATAATCTTATCATTGATCACGTTTATGTCAAGTTTCATCTAGTTTGATAATTATGATGTAATTAACCATAATTTTTTTAAATGATTTTAGATATTTATTTTACATAAAATATTAAAAATTTTAAATGTAAGTGATTCTAAACGTTATAGTTCTTTCAAGTGATTGATAATTAATGTTATATAATTTGATCAATTTTGCTTAATTGAAAATTTTTTGATATAAATAACAAGGTATATTATCGATCAAATTATTCATTAGATTTTCCATTTTTCGTGTCAAATTATGTGCTCATAGGATCAAGCTAATTCAGGGAAAACTATACGAGAAATGCGAAATAACTTATATACGGAACAAGGGCGCCTTGTAAAAAATTTTAAGTTGGACAATCTAAGAAGAACTCATATATGTCCATATATTCACTTGTTTTTGCATAAAAATTTTGCATTCTCAAATGTTTTATTTACAAGTTGCGGAAACTTTAGTCTTCCATATCCTCAACCTCATGGTCCAAGGACGCCAATTTATAGAGAGAGTTGTTAGTCACTTTTAGATATTGACAAGTATAAATATCTTAATATTTGAATTCTGTGTGACTTTGCTTTCTTAAAATTTGATTGGTTTATATATTTAGCTGACAGTTGCTACAACATTCAAATCAATATGTCAAGTCTCAATTTTGACTTCATGATTTTTAATTGATCCAAATTGATATTTTTTCCTATCAATCATTTACAGTTATTTTCTTTCTTCAGACATTATTTTCATGAACGTCATTTGAGTTAGTCAAATCAGCGTTGTAACTAATATATGCAAGTATTACGGAATCTTTCACAGTTACATGTCTTCGTTTAAGTGATCTTCGAGATGCACAAAGCACTTGAGTGAAAGATATAGAGTTCACTTCAGAGTTTGCTGTGCAACATTTAGATAAGGATATTTTTGCAAGTCTGTCTTCGTCTTACTCCATCTTGTATTCGTAAAAAGCATATGTGCATTGAATTACAACCGGCTTTGATAGGCTTTCGTTTGGTAGGCTTATCAACCCGCCGCGACTCAGAAAGTCTATAAGTGGAAATTCATCTCTCGCGATGGAAGACGATCAAATGCTGCACCTGACTTTGATGAAAGTCCTATGGATGTACCGGAAGGAAATTCGGAAATATTTAATTGTGAAGGTTACTGAATTCCAACAACTGAAATTTCATAAATCTTACAATCTCTAAACACTCACCACTCCCCATCAACCATCCATGAAAGTTTCAAGAATGTGATACACATCTCCAACATTGTGAGCATATTTAGTACTTCGAAGCTATATATTACCATATTTTCATTGTGAGGTCATCTCGCGATATAATGTGGAACAACTGGGAAAAAATTATACTATCTGACTGCGAGTCAGCTATTTCTCCAGGTATCAATTTTTGTAATTATCACCACCCAATCACAAGTATGGTTCCTAACAACTCCGGTAGAAGTTTCAAACCTCGAATGAACAAATCGTATATTTATATGTGAGATCGCTTGTCGTCGGAAGAAACTCTAGGGCCTCCCCACCAGGCGCAGGTGTGCTTATTTATTTGATTCTCCCCGTTTCATCTCGCCAACGACTCGAGACTAATAAAAATATAAGTGCAAGTGGAAGGAAGTCTGTAGATGCTCTGCTTTCTGAAAGAGGTGGATGTCCAGTAGACGACTCGCCTTCTCACAACGTGCCAGAGAGTTCCATTGACGTCCACCGTCCGAGTCATCCCAGGACGTCGACAAGAGTGCAATTCGTTGACGCGCCGTGTTCCCGTGGAAGGGCGAGGAGACATTAAACTGGACGAACGAGCGACTGGCTGCGTCCACCAGCACGAGTACGAAGAGTTTGTGATATGGACGTCGGCAGCGAATAAGGAAAAATTCACTGCTCTCTGATCACGAAAGTATCTCGTGGAGGGAAGCTGTCACATCGATCTGACGGTGATTTGAGAAGTCTTTCGCAATGACAGGGGCACCTCCCTGCGGCGCGGAAGCATTGGCCTTGCTCAACTGTGTTGCGGAGAAGGGTTATGACGAGTCCCGGTGTGTTACACTTCTGTCAGTTTTGCGGAGCTGTGTGGAGCGCAAGGTAATGATAGAATTGCTGTTTAGAGAAGATTGATCAGAGAGTCCTGCTGTCTTCCGCCTTGCCTGTGGTTGATGCTGACGTATGAGGATGATCGTCATCTTACCATGAATTGATTTTTTAAATTCTTTGTTCCAATATGGGATGTGGAAATTTGCAGTTCCCTTGAGAGCATGGTCGGAGAGTGGCCCGAGTCTGGTTTTCTAAGTTGAGCTGGATGGTTAAGTCATTACAAATGAACATTGCTGTGTTTGATAAGATAAGAATTTGTGAGGTTTAAATCAAAATTCTGCTCAAACTTTTGATTCCTCAACATTGTGCATTTATGATTAATTAGGCATTCGGTGGATCGTGCTGGTTCGGTTACTGGATATTATGCTCTCGGATTCTTTCGCAGGCGACTCTGACTTCGTACTGATTTTTACACTGAAAAATCTGCGATTCTTTGATGCTATGTAGAAAATTGGATTTTCTGGAGTTCAAGAGGATACATTGTCATTGCGATCGTGCTTTATAATCGTGACCACCCCAGTCTGCATACTTCAATAATTCTGTCAGAATTTATTCAATGAATCCCAAATCAGAGCAATTTTTCCATCTATATATTCTCTGAAATTCAGCAAACCGCTTAGATCAAAGTAAATTAACTTCGTATTTACTTCTATGCCGAAGTGACTTGGGAGATTAGGGTTGAGTGGCTGGCCCATGTTTCAGTCTGCTTTTTTCCAGTGTGGAAACTTGTAATTTTGTTTAGAAGTTGAACGATCATATTACTCATGGAAGCCATCGGGAATGGTAAGACGCTGATGTCTGTCCCTTCAATAAAGCCTCAAATTTTGTTATCGTGTTGTTATCATTATTGTTTGAAAACTACAAATTCTATCCCCTTGCCAAAATTTGAAACGTGATCGGGGTTTGAATAAGGTTTGTCATCTAAAGCACTGCAAGATTGTGCATCCGACCCCAGTTAAGCTCTGACCACAGCCGGCTTCAGATCAAGCTCAACATAGGACTCCAAGTTTCTGGACTTGTATATGTGGACATGAGTCGTCGTTATCACCTTGCTGGTTGCTTAATGTCCTTGCATGTGTGCAGAACATCAAAAACTTCGCCATCGATAATGAGAAACGTGAGAACTCATCGGATGGTCAAGCACCCGGGCAGATAAAATAAGAAAACATTATATCAGAGATGAGGGGAACTTCCGACGTTGCGGAGAACGAACAGTACGTTCAGAGTCTATACTTCTTAGTCATTACAGCCTACCTGTATTCTTCGTTTGAATCGTCTGATGAGATTGGTATCTCATGTTCTTCCGCTCCGTTTTGAAAACAACTGACATGCCATTTTCTGTTTCCCGACAAATCCAGTTTCTGATCTTCTTGTGGTGGACTGACCTTAGGCCGTTTGATGTACATGTAACAGGTGCAGATGACGCATAGACGCACTGGTTTAAGTCGAGAGGAAGAACTTCTACAATGGAACAGTTTTGTATCATGTTCAGAGTGTTGCCACTTAACGCGGCATGCGATGAGAAGTTAGCTGATAGCGCACCTTTTTAGCTGCCGAGTATTGCAGACACAAATAGTACAATTTCTGTCCTTTCAATGTGAATTTTTCAGTCAGACTTGAGTTCACGATGAGGAGAGGATCTTTTGACACAAGCTCCACACACGTCGAACGGTTACTGCAATAAGCTCTCTTTGTATAAGGTGTCGACAATACGAAGAGTCTCAGCTCAAACTCTTGACATACTTCATTTGCACATCAGTATATGAGAGGTTGATGCGATACATTTGAAACTCTGTATATTAGTTGCCAAGTTCCGAGTCCTGGCTGACCCACTTGTGTGATACTTTGACATTTTACCGTACTATTTGTAGTCTGCCAACTTGGCCTGGGCAACGTCATTGTGGATGTGTAAGAGGTCAATCGAATTCAGTCGTCGCCGACAGCTTTAAATTTTATATTCGCTAAGAATGGAAAGTTTTGAACTCGTTTAAAGAACCATTGTATTCACCACATTTGAACACAATCAAGGAATCCTCTGTATTGATATAGTCAGTTAGTCACTCTAAGGAATGACTGTCTCTAAAATAACGACAGTTAATAATTTAAACTCACCAGAATAGTTTTAAAGATCGGACCGCACATGAGTCATAGCAGCCTTGGATTACAAGACAAATTTGCATGTGTGGTTTGTGTATAGAAGTCGGAGGCGTACTTACAAATACACGTTAAGGTTATCTGCTTCCAGACAGAAGCATTGATTCGCACCCTTTACAGATCCTTGTTGACTATGTATGAACTCGCAGCTTTGACGGAAAGGTGGAAGCTCTGAGCATGTAAGGTCGCTTCTGTAAGGACAGAAGCGATCAGCATCTGGAAGCGGCGATGGCTGTGGCGAAGAACTTATGTAGTAATTGTCATTTTGACGGTGGTGTCCAAATTCAGAAGAATTATACCTGGAAGCTTTACAGATCGGTGTTGGAAAAGTCTGAAGATCAGGGGATAGAGACTCCGCGAAAGGGAAAGCAAACGTAATAGTTGTCGGGCGCTTTATAAAGGAAAAGGGAGAAGGTTCTTAGATTCCAAGCGCACTAACGGGCCAGCAACACATCTGTCTCAACTAGTCAGGAATCTACGTGCAGACAGAGTATGCCTGACCCCTCCAAAGGTATTAGAGGATACACAGGACCAACTGTAGATCTTTCCAAACGTTTGGCCGTCCTGTCTTTCTTGACACGATCGCCACACTCATCAGTCAAAGTGTGATTTGTTTGATCTGTCGGTGATTGCCACACACCGCGAGCTTGTGAACTCCCGCATGGCAAGGGAATTTCACCTTTACTCCAGCTCCTCCTTCCAGCGGTTGGAACGAGATCCTGATTCCTGAGACACGGAATGCACTTACCGTCTTCCACGCAAAGATTCTCAACAACTTTTGATGATATCCTCCTAATCCATATGTCAAAACAGTATAAACAAATACGTGTCCCAAGATGTGCAGGAGAAGGCTCCGTAAAGCAAGAGATGGAAATTATACTGTTGATCAAACACGGCTTTTTACTCCAATTCGAGGTGGTTTTCATCCGACCATGGAATGATAAGTAGGGCTGAGCTTTCAAATTGATAAGATAGAAACAAGTGCCTCATGCCCGCCTCCTTTCCTTAAGTTTGACGTACATCACAAAACGATAAGAAAGGCGTGCTTCTTCAGCCCTAAAGAAATATATTGCTTTGCTATTCGTATTCCCCTTACACAACTTCTTCGGTCAATACAACCACTCAAAAGTGACATCATAAGTCTCGATTACGGAACCTTCAAGCATACGGTGCAAATGTATGAACTATCAAAGGAATTTGGGTGGGCCTTGAATCAGTTCCCTGATGTTCCAAGAACAACGTCAGTCCAATTAAGAAAACATTGGTAGCTACGTTACAAACAGGGTGACGGATCCGCTCGGAGTCACAGAGTTTGGGGTCTAGAATGTGCCTCCCAAACCCACAAAAAGTGGGGTTATGATGCCGCGCAGGCGTTCACAAGGGACAGACAACAATTGATGGAAATGGGCCGAAAATTGCCTGCGCATCGCCATGTCAACGAAGGGGGCTAGTGGGTCGTCATGTCGCAGAAGAGATCATTAGATCACATCGAGCGAACCTCTTCTTCTTCTGTACTACGGAGTCACGGAGCGATTCCTTCCTCCACCACCTGCTTCCCGTCGGCGTACGAGATTGGCAGGTCCGGCTTTCCCGAGGAACGAGCGATCGAGTTTGACCGATGAGCGACCCGGCGGGCGGGCGGGCGGGCGGGCCCCGAGCCCTCCCTCGCATTCGCGGGTGACAGCGTGTCGGTTTTCAAATAAAAAAGAAACAGGCCCGATTTGGGCTTGGGCGAACTCTCACCACACACCGTAACCAATGCCGGACGCATTTCTTTCCGGCGCGCATGCGGTTGTTGGTCGCGCGTCTTTCACTGTCTCTCCGACTCTGCCCCACGAACCCCATCGGGCCGGGCGGCCGGACGGCCGGACGTCGAACCACCGGGAACGCGAACGGCCCCATCGGTCGGTCGTTGCGCACTCCGGAATCGGAACTTGCGACGGCTCGTGGTACAATACGGTCCCGGGGCGGGGAAGGAGTGCAGAGTCCAGACGAAAGACGAGGCGAGGCGAGGCGAGGGGAGGGGACGGGGGCAGAGGCGGAGGAGGAAGGCAAATCTCTGATAGAAAGAGCTGACGAGCTCGAGGACAGGAAGCTTGAGCGCGACAATAGCTTCCTCCGCTGCCGCAGGGACGGTCGCTGTTGATAGGCGAGGAGATGGGAGCGGCCAGCATTGCATTGCAACTCGATCGTCGGCACCCGGAGCTTTGGTGATGCAGCTGGAGAAGTGCGCGATTTCAAATTCGGATGTGTCAGCGGTCCTCAGGAAGGAGGAAGGACAGGCAGAAGAGGAGGAGGGAAGGAGGGAGTTTTGATCGAGGCAGAGAACTCGATCGAGCAAGACGATAACGAGGTAGAGGCAGGGTAGAGTGAGAGCAGCAGGCGGGAGGAGCTATGGGGTACGGTGACGATGAGAAGAGTGAGGATTATCTGTTCAAGGTGGTGCTGATTGGAGACTCGGCGGTGGGCAAGAGTAATTTGTTGTCTAGGTATGCCAGGAATGAGTTTCACTTGAATTCGAAAGCGACGATTGGAGTCGAGTTCCAGACTCAGAGTATGGAGATCGACAATAAGGAGATCAAAGCTCAGATTTGGGATACGGCTGGCCAGGAGCGTTTCCGGGCCGTCACCTCTGCCTACTACCGCGGGGCAGTTGGCGCTCTCGTCGTTTATGATATCAGTCGCCGATCTACCTTCGAGAATGTTAGCAAATGGCTCGATGAGCTGAGGAGTAAGTTTTCACTCCAAAGCTCCAACTTAAACACTCCAAACTCTTAAAGCTGCATGCATGTTTATTTGTGATGATGAGCAACATTTCGTTCTTCTTGTAGCGCATTCTTCCAGTGCATCCGCTGTGAGTCATTTCGGCTTGAAGCATGTGCCGAAGTAACTGACAGCGGATGCTTGGATGAATGCGCTACATTCGCACGGAAATCGTGAAGCATGTGCCGAAGTGAATTTGCATTCGCACGCCGTGCGAGCTTTCTCCTTGAGGAGTGATGAATGGTCCTGCTCTGTGCGAACTGTTTCGTCTCCATGCGAAGCTTGTTAGGAGTCCACTTTGTTCTGGTGCACGGTTCTTTGTTTTCTATGGCCGCACTACGGAAGGCGCTAGTGTTCCCAGAACGTTGCATTCTGCTCTGGGAGCATATGACTTGAGTTGAACTGGAGTTCGTTTGGTGAGTGGTCGTTCATGACGCCGATACACAACACGCATAGTTAAGCGTAGACCATGTTTTCGGAATCAAATGATCTGCGGCTGAGACTTTGGCTTAGATAATCTGTAACTTTTCTCAGTGTTCTTTTCTTCAAAGATTTAGAAAACTGGACACTTGTATTTGGTATTAAAACTAGGATACGTCGCACTTAGAGTGATAAATTTGTCTTTATGCAGTGTCCTTGTGTCTCGGTGCATTGTACTTGACACTTCTTCCGAGCGCATGTCATGTCATTCAGCCCCGCGTATGTTTGACATATGGTCCGAATTTTTGGGGATTATTCTTACTTTCTGTTCAACTTCGTTGGTTGTCAATCGGGATTATACGACGATCAAATGTGCAGTGCATTCGGATGCCAGTGTTGTCACCATGCTGGTCGGAAACAAATGCGATCTTCATAATGCGCGAGACATCCCGACGGAAGAAGGCACTGCTTTGGCGGAAAGAGAGAGCTTATTTTTTATTGAGACCTCAGCCTTAGATGCCACCAACGTGAACAAAGCCTTCCAAACTGTCGTCAAGGAAATTTACAGGATTGTGAGTAAGAAAGTTATCTCCGCAGATTCGATACAGAAGGAAGTTGACATGGGTGGCAGCATCAGATTGACATCAGAGGTCGAGCAGCACGATGAAGGTCAAACAAAGAGATTTGGCTGCTGTTAAGGTTTAGCCTCTCTTTTGAAACATTGTGTTTGCTTCCCACTACCATTCTAATTCAATTATGTCGACTCAGGAAGAATTGCCTACTCTAGACACTCATCGGTTCTCAACAGGGCTTGGAAGTCCCCATTTTGTGAGTATGTCAGAAGTGTGTAACCTAGTCCGTTTGATATAAATCAAGGATTCTCGCTCGTGAACCAGCAGCATTGGACACTTGCAGTAGAAGAGAATATTGCACACGACACTGTGTGTGGCGGCGTTAAGATCTCCGTTGAACAGGGAAGGTTGCACCCTTAGATCGTGCGAGTCGATACTGTTCCTTTGTCGTATCTTTAGTTTCGACGTGTAATTTTTTCAGCTATGTAGCCCTCGTCTTTCTTTGGACTGAACGAGCTCATGACCTATGTGGTTGTAAAGACGAGCCGCATGATAGCGAAGAGTCAGCTATTCCCCGTCACCCGAGTGATGGAGAATAGAGAAGTTGTCTCACAGTTCTGTGAATACATGATCTATACATGTCATTAACATGTTTGGTGTGTATCCACATATTTCTCTACTGAGTCTTCTTGCACACATGTTCATGCAAAGCTACCATTAACGCGTTCGCCGATAGATCATTAATTCTTCGTCCTAATTTTTGGGCACCGCTGCAACATTGTCTCCATCCTCTCCGAATTCTCTCGTTTTATTCGGGATTTGCCGCTCTTGTCTCATGATGTCGTCTTGATATATGTCTTGTATGCTCAATGCAACCATCGTTTCCTCCGTTGTGCATTGTCTCATGTCTTTTCCTTGCGGTTCTCGAGAAATAGGAGAAATTTCCCTCACACTTAAAGTAATCGAGATCCTGTAATCATTGTCTCTTTTAACCTCTCATCCCAAAAGTCCACAGAGTGCACCACACAGCTCTTGAGCACGTCGCCCCTCCGTAAAGCCGGGACGGGCTGACAGCATATTGCGATCTACTGTCGTCGCCCTTCGCCGCCGTGGATGTTGCGCACGTCCTGCTTCTCTATCGTCTCGCATTGCGGGGCCTCAGGCACCGTGAAGAGTGGGGAATGCTGAGTGGATAGTGGCGCATCATGCACCTCGTCCATGATGATGCGGCTACCGGGCGAGGGACGGTGGTGGGTACCTGTCTGCGCACTCAATTCTATATTACCTGTTCCAATTTCGGTAGCCAATCATTGTCAACGGTCGATGTGACCTGTGAACAGCAGATGCTTGCTGTAATTCGAAAATGGCACCTGCCGGTCTCCAGGGGAGGGTGAAAGCCTGTCTGGTGCCCTGTCCCAAGATGCTGGATTTTCTGGGTGGCACTCGCGCTGTTTTTAGAAAGGTAGTACTGTAAACTAGTACGCTCAGTTGGAGTATCGCGCTCCGGAATGGACGTACCGCATCCACTGAACTTCACCGCAACCGGGGAATTGCAATCATGCGATATGTCAAAAATAGCCCAATCCAAGCCCCCTCAAGTTTCCGATGTAGGCTGAACGGTTTCCCAGTGGGCAGAAAGACTGAGCAGTAGACTGACCACGATGCCTGATGTGGTGCACAGTAGACCTACTTGGGACCAACTTTCTCTTCTGTGTGAATACGTCCTCAATATGCGCGATGGCAAATAGTTTAAAATCATTGACGAGTGCAATTCAATTGTTTCTTTTAGAACAGGTGTAACGTTGTCTAGATGCCGGAGAATTCTCGAGATTTATCACCCTTTTCTTATCCCATTATCCTCTTATCTTTTCACGTTTCTTGTTACGTTTCATCTTTAATTGATACAAAGATAATCATCTACGCAGAAATGTTTTCATGTCGATTATATCCGAGCCAAACGAATGCCATGTATTTTATCTTTGACATTGAAATCGGAGATCATTCACTTGGAAGTGAAACTTCTCGGCCGAAGGCCTCGATTTTCCGACTCGAACCCCGAAAGGCTTTTACTTTATACAAATCAGCCCCAATTTGGAACTTCGCCGGCCGAAGCCCCCAGCCTCAGAATTTAAGCTACCGCGTGGTTAAATTCTCCAATTTACAACTGTTTCCTACTGAGAATGGAGATAGTCTAGAGTAGAACGCTGGCTTGATACAACTATCCTCAAAGCCACTAGGAGAAAAGCATCACGTTTCAGATGGCATTAAGTTAAAGTAAAGACATTCTGAAAATTTTATCACTTTATACTATATATATCTTTTCTGAAAATTGACGTGATGATCACCCATTCTTCTTCCGGAGTGGAAAGAAAACACCCAAAAGTACGTACATAGAGTTAAACTCTTTGATGTTCTACCATTGAAGTTACCGACGTCTAATGACAGAGACTGCAAACATTTCTTTTATCGTATATACAAAAAAATGTATTCGTTCACTTACAGACATTGAGAACTGATTCTATAAATTCTAGATTAACTGCTTCAAGTTTGATTCTTCATATATCATGCAATATGTAGATATAGTTGATGTTGTATTCCAGAGTGGTGCTATTGGGGTAAGACCCATATCAACCTTTTGGATGCATCCATTAAAACATGTGTTTACTTTCCATTCTGCTATTATAATTTGTGCCTCTATTCCCAAATTGGGAAGGAGGAGATTTGTGTGTGACCAGTCCAAAGGCTGGCCTCATAACTTTGGTGCCGGGAAGTTGAAATGACGAGTTATGGGTACCTTGTGTTGGAATTTGTGAGTACAATCACAATTCGTATTACGGTCGTTTCCTTTGTGCTCTTGTAAATGCAAACCGGCCGATAACGTTAAGGTCACAAACTTTTGACAGCTGAACGGAAGGGAAGCATCGGCAATAACGAGAACGGATGGCAGAATGTTCATGTTCATGTCCGCTTGTATCGGAGCGAGATTAGGGCATGGGGACGGGTGCAAATATAACACTAAATGCCTCTCATCTTCCGTAACAAGCGTGTGAGCATAAGATCTTCGGATCCCGATGGATCTTTATATTTCGTATTCAAGGGTTCCACCTCCTGCCTCAGGGCCAAAAAAAGCTTGGTTACTTTTAGGGCAATTCCCTCGCATATGAACATGCAAATATTGATAAGTGATGTTTAATAGAGAGAATAAGTGAGACGAATGATATGATGTTCTTCTAAACTACCCAAAGGTACAAGAAGATTTTTTAAAAAAACAATAAGTAACATAATTCAAAGGGAACAATTCTTTTTAGGACTAATCCGAGTAAAATCCCAAGAACCAGGCCCAATTGTATCACAAAGTGTAATTTGTCCTAGGTTATGCAAGATCTTTTAAATATCAAGTTCAAACCGTGTACAGCGAAGAGTAGCATTTGGCATCTAATGTGATTTCTAAGATGTGTTAACCTGTGTAAGCTAATGCTTTCCGTATAGCAATAAAGTATGTTCACAATAAACTGCATATGGTGATAGTTAGTATGCTAGATTCTAGCTCGTTCTTCTTCACAAATATGATTCATCGATTCATGCTCTACTTTGTATGATTGAGAACTAGGGACTACAGCTAGTAAACAACGAGAACAACTTCAAGATATGTTTATTGAAAATGTGAGATTTAAATAAATGAAAACAAAAACAAGCCAATAATCTAATAATTTGATGATAGCTAGAGTGAAATATACTTGAAAAATAATTCAGACATCAATTAATGATCAAGCACATTAGATTTTCTAATCATTTACTCATTTTGTCTGTTCAAATATGTAATGTCAGTACTACATTATATTCCATATTAAAGATTCAGAAAATATGCTTGAATATTTGTAATCTTACTTTTTTTAAACTATCAATTTGATCATTCATAAATATGTCAATCTCAAATTTGAAATGTCATTGTTTGAGATCAAGAGAAGGTACGTCGATGGACAAGATATTCAATGCTTTTTTATTTTTTATGATTTGGTAACTAAATTCTTTTATCACACAAATGTTGTTAGTCATACATCAAAATTAATATCGTTTTTTCTACATGTTTTTTTACTCTTGCAATATTTATAAGATCTTGATAAGATAAAATTATAGATGTGATAAAAAACAATTGCATCATAAAATCTTGAGCAAATTTTTTCCTTTTATGGTGTGTTCACTGGGTTTTTTTCTTCACCTGCTTCTTGAAAAATTGCATTTTCTGATGAATATTTTTTTATTCACATAGCAATTGAATTTATAATTCTTGAATTCTTATGTAGATTTTTTTAATAATGATTATATCATAAAATTGTACAATATATTTGTATACATAAGTTTCATTTGATTGAAAATCAATTGAATCGTTAAGTATCCACAATAATCTATATATCTATAAACTTCTTTGATATAAATTTTGGTATAATTCTTATTTGAAACAACTAAAAATGAAATAAATTTATTCAAAATTATTATTTGTTCACGCTATAATTTTCTTGTAGCAAACACAACGCCTGACCCTGCTCCATAAACATTGTCAGCCGCCGCTACGGGTACGGACATACTTGCCCCGCAGTTATGGCTAGAGAGGCGGTGAACATTGTAATTGTTGTGACAAGAAAATTGAAAGAACAAGATACTGAGACAAAAGAAATAATGCTCTCGGATCTCTCTGAACAACTTTCCTAGAAATACTCTCAAAGTAAAGTATATTTAATGACCTAACAGGATGTTACAGTATTATATTTATATGGGAGTGTGAGGGTTAGTGTACCTTTTATTAATAGACACTGTTGGTTAGGAGTCTTGATAACTTTTAGGGGTAAGGTGGTGCGCAGTCAAAGTATTACGTTCCCTATTATTAGAGATAATCTGTCGATAGGGTTAAGATAAACCCTCCCTATTATTAGAGATTGGTAATCTCAACACTCCTCCCCGAATGATGAACTCCCTCATTAAAAAACTTCAAGGAAATAAAAAAGAAGAAGTGAAGTCATCGTTCGCATTCTAATTCAATTATTGTCTATAAGTTTTGATAAAGTCTGCATCCCTGCTGCGGTTATCAGTTTTTGATGTTACGGAGCTCGTAATGCTTTGGTAAGTATATCCGCGATGTTTTTCGTTGAAGCTATCTTACGCACTGCAAATTGGCTCGTCTCTATGAGGTCCTATGTGTAGCTGAACAAATGAGGACTGATGTGCTTGACACGGTCTTACTTGATGATACCAAAAGATACTTGTTCAATACAAGTTGTGTTATCTTCAAAAATTGATGTTGGCTTCTCTTGGAGTGGAAATCCATCCATCTCGGTTATAGCGGTCTGCATGATGCAAAGTCACATTGCTTTCCGAGCTGCCTCGTGAAACACAAGGAGCTCAGCATGATTTGTTGAAGTTGCCGTGGCTGTTTATTTTGTGGATCTCTAATAAATGGATGCTTCATTTTTTATGAAGATGTGACATAGTTGGGACTTGCCAGTCGTTGGATCTAATTTCAACCTAGAGTCGGCATAGCCTATAATATCATTTTGGCGGCGGCAAAAATAAAGATTGAGATCTTCTATTCCTTGAATGTACTTGAGGAGGTGCTTGATGCCTTGCCAATGTCGTGTTGTGGGGCGTTGGCTGTGACGGGCGAGGACGCTGACGGCAAAACTAATGTCGGGTCAAGTATTTGTCATCAAGTAGAGGAGTGCGCCAACTGTTGCTAGATATTTTGGTTTGTCCAACTCCTCCTTCTCAGATT